CAATTGATGACATTCGACTCCCTTACAGTAAGTTGCACATAGCTCTATGTTGTTATAACAACCTTCTTACCTCTGTGCTTTATCGTTTGAACATCTCTGTAACTGTATTTTAGTTGTGCCGAAAATAAAATATATGTCTTGATCAATATTTGGTGGCCTGTTAGCAGTAGGTTTGTAAGATGTCACAGTCTTATGTGTGACCTAAGTTAAGAATCATAGACCTGTCCAGTAGTGGTGATTTGTGAGGAAATCAGTATAAGAGTTACAGGCCATGTCTGTTAAGATAAAATTATCCAAAACTTCTAAATTAGACAAAAGGATGGCTATATACCCATGCAAATGTCATCCTGGCACATTGAGGCCAACAAGCCCTTCTGAGGGCCAGCCTCTGGGGGAATGAAACTTTGACAACTTATGCTGATTGTGGCTTACACTCTGTCAAGTTAGATATTAATGAAGATAATCGATAAGCTGCTAATGACTTTCGTCCAGCAGAGGGGCAGATGATTTTTGTCTGGTGAAGAGATAACTCCAAAGGTTAAGGCCCTATTGCTCTGTAGTATAGTTTTATATCTAATTTAGCAATTTTTATTTTTTAATACTTTGTTTTTCAGAACAGCTTTAAATTTATAGAAAAGTTGAGAACATTGTATGGAGGGTTCCCTTATTTTTTACATCTTACATTAATATGTTACATGTTTTATCATGAGTGAACCAATATTGATACATTACTAATAATCAAAGCCCATATTTTACTCAGATTCCTTTTGTTTTGACTTAATACCCTTATTCTGTCCCAGGATCCCTTCCAAAGTAATACCATATTACAGGTAATGGTCAGGTCTCTTATGCTCCTCTTGGCTGTGGCAGTTTTTCCTTTGTTTTTGATGACCTTGACAGTTTTGAGGAGTAGTGGTCATATATTTTGTAAGTGTCCCTGAGGAGGAGTGTGGCTGATGATTTCTGCATAGTTAGACTGACATTATAGACTTTTGAACAAAGACCACGAAGTGAAGTCCTATTTTCATTGCATCATATCAAGAGGGTACAGCCTAGCAACATGATTTATGACAATGTTGGCCTGGATCACCTGGCAACATTTGTCAGCTTTCTCCACTGTAAACCTACTTTTTCTTCCCCCTTTCTACTGTGTTCTCTTTGCCGTGTGCAGTCCATTCCTAAGGAGTTTTGCTCCCCCTCCTGGGGGGTGGAGGATCCACATAACTTACAGGGAATTCATGGGAGATTTGTCTTTTTCCCCCACCTATTAATTAATTCAATCATTTATTTATATCATGTTTACGTGGACTCAAGGACACTAGATACTAGGTGTACCTTTTCCTAGTTGGGTGTTTCTCTTAGGCCCTCTCGGCAGAAAGCACAGAAATATAGCGTGTATATGAATTCCCATGTGTGTGCACATGTCTATGAGTAGTTCTATATGTGACCTTCTGTACCTATATCAAGATAAACATGAGTTCTTACTGACATCTCCAACTCTAACCATATGGATCTTTCTAGCTGCCTCCTCTTGCTTACCTATAAGTTATCACTTCAAGAGTGAGAAGTCTGTCTTCCACCAGCCACCATCCACTTAATTACTATTCAGTTCCAGGATATATGTAGAACAGTATCAAACTTGTTAATCTGTGCCCTGATGGGAAACCACATTGTCTGCTAGAGCACAGTGCTTATGTCCAGCTCCTTTTACATTCAGTCATGGAGACTCCACTTATTGCCAGAGCTGCTTAGGTCAGCACCCTTTCCCCTGCCCCCTTCAGTGAGGTTGTTCCATAGCTGTGCAATACAGATTCTCATGTCGTGGTCTGGCTTACTTCCTGGGATCCACCAACCTCCTAAATGATTTTTTAAAATATTGCAGACATTGCGGCTCACTTTTAGCTGTAAAGTTCTACGGGTTTTGACAAATGTATAATGACATGTATCTACCATTACAGTTTCAAACAGTTTGCTGTCCTACAAATCCTCTATCTGCCCTGGATGATGTGGTTCAGTAGATTGAGTGCTGGCCTGTAAACCACAAGGTTGCTGGTTCAATCCTGGTCATGGTACATGCCTGGGTTGTGAGCCAGGTCCCTGGTTGGGGGCATGTGGGAGGCAACTGATCAATGTTTCTTTCTTACACTGATGTTCTTCCTCTCTTTCTCCCTCCCTTCCCCTCTTTCTAAAAATACATAAATAAAATATTTTTTTTATTTATTTATTTATTTATTTATTTATTTATTTATTTATTTATTTATCTTTAGAGGGGAAGGAGAGAGGGAGAGAAGCATCAATGTATGGTTGCCTCTTGTGTGTCCGCTGCTGGGAACTGGCCTGCAGGGAACCGGTCTGCAACCCAGGAATATGCCCTGACTGAGAATCGAACCGCGATCCTCTGGTTCACAGGCCTGTGCTCAATCCACTGAGCCACACCAGCCAGGACTAAATAAAATCTTTTTTTAAAAGTCCAGTAAAAAGTCCTCTATCCTTCACTTACTTATCTGTCTCCTCTCTCTCCCTTTTCCTGGCAACTACTGATCTTTTTACTATCTCTGTAGTTTTGTGTTCTTTAGAATGTTGTATAATTAGAATCATAGAGTATGTAGCCTCTTACTTAGCAAAATGCATTTAAGTTTCCTCCATTTTTTGTGTCGCTTGATAGCTCATTTCTTTTTGATGCCAAATAGTATTCATGCATGGATGTACCAGTTTATTTATCCACATACTTACTGAAGGACATCTTGATTGCTTCCAGTTTTTAGAATTATGAATAAAGGTGCTATAAACTTTCATGCCAACAACGTTTTTTTAAATTTTTACTGACTATATAGACATTCGTGACTTGTGACTTCTTCGAACCAGTTTTTCCATTCTGCTAGCTTCTTCCTTAGCAACATGTGCCCACTCTATATTTTTATGGGAATTATATTTTTAACCTTTTGACAACCATACCTTGACATGCTATTTTTATGTCTCTGAGGTGATGTAAGATATTTCTTTTGTGGATTGGAACATGCTGCATTACCTCAAAGTCATGGCCTCCAATCTTCTTTCCACAGGTATGGACCTGGATGTGGCCTCGACTGAGTGAGCACTTCTAAGGGTAAGCCCAGGGAAACGTTTCTGATAGGTGGTGCTACAGCTGGAGAACTCGTACAAGAGAGGTTGTTGAAAGTACGACTTTGCTTCTAAAGCTCCTCAGGATGATTTGGTGTACCCTTAACACTTCTATCTGGTCACATTAAGGACATTGCTATTGCAGGGGGAGTGGGATGGAAACAGTGCTGGGTTTGAAGACCCTTCTGCTACTCGGTGCCAAGTCCATTAACACCTTGAGCCTTAGCTTCTTCATATTGTAAATAGGAAACATTATAGCAATATAATACTATGGCTATTAAACCACCTTCCTCCACTGAGATGTTTGTTTGAAATAAATTATAATGTGTGAAATTCTTTCTAAGCATTCTAGAAGGATAAGTTATCACTCTTTAGTACAGGGCTTGACAATTTTTTTTCTATAAAGGAACATATAGTAAATATATTCAGCTTTGCAGGCTATATGTTCTCTTATGGAACTATTCAACTCTGCCCTTAGAGTTCAAAAGCAGCCATAAACAGCACATAAACCGATGAGCACAGCTGTCCAAAAAAAACTTTATTTATGAAAATAGACAGTGGGAAGTATTTGGCCCACAGGCTGTAGTTTGCTGACTTCTTGTCTAGAATAAACTGGAAAGACACAAACCACTGCCTGCTCCCTTCCTCCTGAAATCTCTTCCAAATACAGTGCTGGAGAGGACATTCAGTTATTTACTGAGAGTCTTACCAAGTCCCTTGTTGGATTGAGTTACTTATCAGCCCAGCTTTTTAAAAAGCACAAATACTTCTCACTTTCTATGTGGAATCCCATCTTCTCCATGGGTGGAGCCAACCCTGCTTCTATAACAACTACCACTTTTGTCTCTCCATAAAACTGCTCGCCCACTCTCCTGGGCCATATTATTAACTGTCTGGAATGGCCAAAGCCCCGTTATTTCCTTAGCTGAACTGGAGAATTGAAAGAGAGAACCACAGGAAGAGAAAGGACCTAAGATCTTTCTCTGCATCTTATGAGCCAGACACTGTGCTCAGTGCTTCTTGTATTGAACTCAAGACTGGCAATAAGTCTGTGAGACAGATGTTAGTGCACCTACTTTATATTTGGCAAGTTTAAATTTTGTAGTTAGAATATTCAGTTTTCCATCTATGTACATTTATTCTGAAGTCATGGACATCCCAATTTCCACAGAAAGCAGAAAGTTTAATTTTGTCAACTCAAGGTAACTCTGTTACTTCTGGACTTAAATGTAGCTAGTACAGTTTTAAACTCAATTAATATTATGTCACTCCTCAACTTTACTTCTTGTCTCTGGGGGTGAGCTAAGTTTCTGGGGCATTGGCTTGTATACTGTCCTGCATTTTCCTGAGAAGTTTGTCCTTCCTTGTCTTCATGGTTGTCATGGGTTGGTGTCATGTCTTTGAGAATCATACATTCCTCCTCCTTCTTGTCCCAAACCCTGGCTCTTTTGGGACTATGGCTCATGCTCAGTCACTTTCCTATTTGTCCAGGGGCTCATAGGAACCTTTGCTTATGGTTCTATGAGGCTGCCCTGGGGATCACCTGACCAGGAAATTCCCTCAGCCATTGTTAGGCTGCTCTGCTGGGACCATCTTGTACATGGGGCTCTCCACAAGACTTGAATTCTCTGAGTTAACTCCTTGGGAAGCCAGGCAATGGTCTCTTTGGTTCTGGAGACACTGTAAGACTATCTGGGGTTTCTCTTGTCCTTTCTGTCCAAGGTTTTTGATCCATGTAGGGGACACTTTTTTGGGACCTAAATGTTGGCTATAGCCCTGCTGTCCTACTATCATTGAATTTATCCTTGTCTTTTTAAATTGGAGAACAATCTGTTTATGTTATCCTACTTTCCCCCTGTTTTTTAGCTTTTAGTACAAACTCTGGAGAATCCTCCAGGATCCTAGCCACTTAGGAATTCAATACTGTCACTCAACCCCCCTTCCTGGTGCAGGAAAAAAGCTTTGTTTTCAACATATTGTCACTGCTCTAGGCTCCAAAAAGTCTAATTTTAAAACTCACAGGTGAGTAATTTATTTCTTTGATTTTGACATATTTGCCTTCCTCCTAAGAATAGCATGTGTGGAGAACAGCTTTCATTTTGTTTGTTCATTTTTTCCAAGAAATAAATATTATGAAAAGCTTAAAATTGGATCAGTACAGATCAGTTTAGTATTCAGTTTGTTTCTTTGTGTAAATGATGAAGGCAAGGGAAACGGCCAAGGACTCAGAGGAGAAATCTTGGGTAGCATCTCTAAAATACCATCAATGCATCCTCACCTCTGAGGAAACCAAGGCCCTGAGAGCTTGACCAGCTGGCCCAGCCCCACACTGGAGAGAGTGGAGGCCTCAGGGCTCCTAGCTGGGTCAGCCTCCCTGTCTGCCTGACTCTGAAACAAACAATGGGGTGATGAAAGGAGTTTTCAGTTTCAGCAGTTTCAAATGCTACAGAGAAGCCCAGAAAGAAGAATGAAGAGAGGTTTTCAGAGAGGGGTTCATGGGTTACCTCTGACAGGGCTGTGCTTTGTCCCACACCAGACTCCATCCACTAGCACACGACTGCAGGCCCAGAAGCCCTAGTCCCGAGGCCAGATGCGCCACTGAGGTATTGCTGATTGTGAAGAGCTCCCCAGGAGTGGTGCGTCCTTACAGCGGTTTATTCTAGGTGTCCAGTAGGAGAAGGTTCTAAAGACTAGAATATCAGCCAGGATATACAGTACTTGACATTACATAAGATACCTGAATGGAGGAAGGAATTGGGAAGGAATATGCTACTGATTTGAAGGAAAGAGGAAAAAGAAGGTGCTGGAATGAGTGGACAAAGAGGTTTGAGTGAAGGTGTGAGGGTGCCCCCAAAGTCCCCTAGTGAGAAGTACCCACAAAAGAGAAGAGCCACAGGTGAAAGGGCTATCCACACTGAAGACAGGCTAACAATTTTCATCCGTGAATGAATTATTATCTTTTTACTCTTTGAAGACTTTTAAAAATAAGTGGTGTCAGTTTGCAGTTCCTTCCTAGCCACATGCTAAGCATGCAGTCTTTGTTATCTTACCCCAGGAAGGCTGGCTGCCACCTTCATCTAGGAGGACAAATTTTATTCTTTTTTCTTTGTCTTTTTTGGAACTGCCTCCTCGATGCCTTATGACAGCCAAGTTTCTAAGGCTTGGGGCTTCACAGAGATCTGTCCCCTTGAGGGCCTCACTGATGCACCTCACTGATGCGCCTCCCTCCACCTGAGCGATTTCAGTCGCTTTATGGTCTCATCCCACGTAAATAGTGGACATGGGCCGTGAGGAGAAGAATGGCGGTGCCTGGGAGGAGAGCTGCCTGTGGGGAAGGCTGGCCTCTGCTGTTGTGACAAACTCTTGGCTGTTTGTTTCATTTCTTCTAGGAACAAACATAATGAACGCTTAAGTTAAGATTAAAGATCAGTTTGGGACTCTGTTCATTGTGTTCTTTCTTAAATTTTTTATTTATTTTAAAAAATTTAAATTTTGTTGTGGGAAGAACACTGAACATGAGATTTACCCTGTTAACATTTTTTATTGAGGTATGATTGACATAATATTGCATTAGTGCTACATGTATAAAATAATGATGTACAAAAATGTACATATTACAAAATGATTACCATAATAAATATAGTTACCATCCATCACCACCTCTTAACATTTTTAAAGTGCACAATACAGTATTGTTGACTATCAGCACAATGTTATTTAGCAGATGTCTAGAACTTACTTCATCTCGTCTAAGTGAAACTTTATGCACTTTGATTAGTAACTCCTACCTCCCCCTCCTCCCATGTTTGTGTCTTAATTCAATTTAAACTCTGTGTATTGAATGACTTCTATGTACAAGGCACTGTGGCAGGTGGCAATAGAAATGGAAAGTCCTAGCTCCTGCCACCTTGTGGGGGGTGGGACAGACATATTCAGGTAACTCTTAACACGTGGTGGAACATCATTGCCTTAAGAGACAAAGGAAGGAGCGTGAGAGAGTTTAAAAATTGTTTCTGGTTGGGGTCTTCTTGAAGACATAGCGTTAGAGGCAGAATTTGTAAGGAGGGTCAATTTTACTGGGTGGAAGTGTGGCTAAAGAATATTCTACCTGGAAAAGCCTGCCAACGATATTGAAATTCTGGACATCCTGCCCCTCTGTGGGCCAGTACCCCAGACCACTTGGTATTAGAAGCAGATCCCACTTTTTTCCTCTGCTTTTTCCCCCCAGGACTGCCTGAGACCTCAGTTATTATATTAGAGAAAAATGCCTATCAAAATGGAGAGGGAGCTGGGTGAGGCTGAGAGACCTTCAGGCTGCAAGGGATGTCTAACCTCCTCTGAGAAGAAGCAAGTCTGCATGAAGCCCCTTAGACTGAGTGCAATTCTAAAAAGAGTTTGGCAAGGCCGTCTGAGAGTCCTTGAGCCATTTTACCTCCCTGCTTGCCCTGCCGGAGTGCCCGGCATGAGGAAAAGGGTTATTTATTCCTTTTCCAGGTGGAGGGAGCAAGATGACAGCTGCACAACTGACTTGGATTTGGGGAGTTCCAATCCCACGCCCATGCATTTTGAGGTCAAATTAATATGGTTGTGGAATTCTCCAGAGTGGGGGGTGTTTTTTTTTTTTTTTTATCACAATCTGGAGTCTCTTTAAGCCCGATAGCTTGCTTGGGATTTAATCAGGAAAGAGCAAAATGTTGATAAAAATCACCTCCCAGATTATTGTTTTATTTTTTATGGTTTTGTATTTTTAAATTTTTAATGTAATTTAATGTTATTTTTAACCACTTTTAGAGAGAACGGAAGAGAGAGAGAAACTTCGATGTGAGAAACATCAGTTGATGCCTGTGCCCCATCTGGTATGCATTTGACTGGGGATCAAACCTGCAACCCGGGTTATGTGCCCTGATGGGGAACCAAACCCACAGCGTTTTGGTGTTTGGGATGATGCTCCCACCAACTGAGCCGCTCGGCCAGGGTGGTTTTGGATTTTTTTAATTTATTTTTTTATTTTGGTATAGTTGGTATACAATATGTATATTAATGTTAGCTTCGAGTGTACATTATAGTGATTTGACATTTTTTATACCTTACAATGTAATCAATCACCTCATTAATTCTGGCAATTATCTGTCATTGTGCAAACCTATCACAAGATTATTGACTATATTCTTTCTTTATTTCTACTGGTGAGATTTTAGAGGTCTGTCTGGCTTAAGGAGAGGAGTAATGAGAGGGGAGAAATACGAGGCTGGTTGTGTCTCAGCTCTGCTTTGGGGCATCTTCTGTCCCCTGCCTGCCCTTCTCTCCCCTGCTCTCTGAGATATGTATGAGATGCTAGCTGGACCCTCCCAAGGGCTGGCTTTAAGTGTGGGGATGGGTCATGAAGCAACCCTGTGGGCCTGGGCTTTGCTTGAGAGTCAGAGTTTGTGTAATGTCGTCTCGACAATGAAAAGAAAATTAAATTTACCAAGTGTGATTGGGTGGGGGGAAATCTTTTAAAGTGTTTAATAGCCCTGGCCAGCTTTGGGCTCTGTTGGTTGGGGTGTGATTCCATAACTGAAAGGTTGTGGGTTTGATTCCTGGTCAGGACACATACCTAGGTTGTGGGTGCAGTCTTTGGTCTGGGCACTCTTTCTCTCTCTTCCGTCCTCTCTCTCTAAAAAGCAGTGGGGGAAAAAACAATCAATTAAATGAAAAAGCTTTGAAAAATACACATTCACAATTTTAGCAGAAGACTTTGTCAGAACTCTTATTCTGGTATTTTGTTAATCGAACATGGTCTACTTGTAGGTGGAACCTAGGGGATTTTTAAGGCAGTGAAACAGTTCTGTTCTCTATGACCCAGTCATGGTATATTTGTGAAAATTCAAAGACTGTACCACAGAGAGGGAACCCTAAAGTTAACTATGGGTATTAGTTAATAAGAGTGAATCTATATTGGTTCATCAACTGTAAGAAAGGTACTACATCAATACAAAATGTAAATAATAAGGGAAACTGACTGTGTGGGGAAAAGGACAGGAGAGGGGATAGGTGGGAACTCACTGGACTTTCTGATCAATTTTTTTTATAAATCTAAAACTGCTCTAAAAAAGTAATATCAGTAAAGATAAGGGCAGAATATCATGGTCTGTATATAATGTCGTGTCATTTTTTATTTTTTATCTTCAAATTACTCCCCACTATAACTGAGTCTGCCTTTGGAGACATGCTTCTTTGGGTGAAGTATTACCTTCCCAGACTTTTTAATGAAGTTTACCATCTTTCTCCCTCCCCTGCCTCTGTCTCTTATATTAATGGCCTTGGGGTTTTATTAGATTTAGTTATTGTGCAGCCCCCTGTAGGGAGAGGTTGGAATCTTGCCTGAAGTCTGAGGTCTGTCTTTGTGTTAATGACAAGTGTCTCAGCGTGGACCCAGGGACCTCTGCAGGCAGGAGAGAGAGGCACTGCAGGAGGCTGGATGGCAAGAGGTGCTCCTTGATGGAGGACTTTAAAGGTGATGTCTGGTGGCAACCTGGAGCCAGGAAGGGAGCAGTAGTCCAGATGAGACCTCTTTTCCCTAGAATCTTCCATAGTCATGTAGGAACTGGATGCTCCCAGCAACTGTTTGTTTTTTGTTGCACCCAGTCTTCAGTGTAAAGCTTTCTTCAGACCTTTTAACATGGGGAATGAAAGGAAGGCATCTGGTCCATACTAGGGTGTGAGTGTTAAAGGAGCAGTGCTCCCTCTGTGATGACAGCAGGGATTATCACCAAGCAGATGGGGGCCTGTTCACATGGCACCTTGGTGCAGGACCCACCAATCAGTATTGGAAGGAGCAGGTCTTTATTTACAATATTCCAACTTGGGGGTGCTCAGAGCACTTATGCTTAGAGCCCTCTTTTCCACGAGGCCCAGCACTCCCCTTGTTCCCCAAAAGGCTATAAGCCAAAAGCCAACCCAGTAGTTCCCTATATTCTTATTTTAAGCTGGCTGCACAAACAGTTCTCTGAAAGGTACCGAAGTTGTCATCCTCACACAGTGGCTCTCTCCTTCAGGATCTGGGGTATGTTGTCATCAGCCTTCATGTAATAGTCCAGGGAAGCATGTTCTGTGTTATACTGGATCATGGTGAAGTCCAGGGAGGCACATGTCCCAAGAGTCTAGATAAAGTCTGAATCTGCAAGGCAGCAGGTCTGAGTCTTGCAAGGAAGGGTCCTTGATGGCTTTGGAGTCCACTAGAGTGGGCACAATCAAAGCAGCCTGTCTGCCTTCTTACCAGCCCATGGCAGACCAGCTCCTACAGCCCGAATGGGTCCTATCTCACTACCAGCAGCCTGCCGAAATCTACCTTCATTACCAGCTGCATCATAGCTCTCTCATGGCTCTTCTACTCCCTTCTAAGCCATATGGCCAAACTCTCTCGTGGCTGCCTAATTTAGTTTTAAATACTGACCTGGAACTTCCTGTGTGACCTCAATCTCTGACTCGACCCACAACGAGTGACAGTTGCCAGTTCTCCTGTATAGTTTACATTCATTCAGTTGCCATCCCAAGTTAGGGCAAGAGTGACTCAGTGATTGGGGTGTTGGGGGGGAACCTGCTTCCCCTGGCTACCTCATGAGTCAGGATGCACCCTTCAAGTCATGTCCATCTTGTACTGAAGTGGTAGCACAGCTATTAAACTAGCCTTCGTTATGAAAAGTATCTTACACCCTATCATCCTCTCTCCCCATCCCCCAACCAAAGCTTGTGGGTTTTTTCTATTTTCCCAGGGCACCCCTTACCCTGTACTCTATTACAGAATTGGTAGGGGCCCCAGGAGAATGAAGCTTAGGGGACTTATTAGGTTGTGTGGTCCAGAACATTCTCCTTCACGTGCTAATCTTGAGGATTGATTTGTTTTCTTATGAGAGGTGGTATTTTCTTAATATAATCTCTAACACTAAGTATAAGATTACTTCTCAGAAATAACAAGGGGCTAGACCAGAAAGGCCAAGCAAGACTCCAAAGTTCATTCACATGTTTATTCAGAAGATCAGCCTTGCCTGCTTTTCACTGGTGCCAGGTGTCTTCCTGTAGGGGTTTCAGGTTGAAGGGACCAACCTGCTCCTGGCAGATCTATTCCTGGGGAAGTTCCTTTCCAATCTTTGTTTGGATGACATGCTGGGTTCCTGGCTTCCCCACCTCTGGTCTTACTAAGTGTCCATTGTCCCAGGGTGCACATCAGTGAGCTGAATTACCAAGGGAGGGAAATTGTTCCCATAGGAGGAGAAAAGCAGCAATCCCAAATGTTAGGGCCAGGTGACCAAGGTGCCAATTCATACCATCGACTGTGAGAAATGCAAAACACATGATCTTCTTGCCTGCAATGGAAAATGAAATCAGGAAAAGGGAATTTCTGGGGCTCTTTTTAAACATTATAGGTACAGAGTTTAAAAGTGAGTGTTGGGAGTAGGTGGAAGACTTGGGTGCACTTTTAAGGGCAATACTTTTCCCCTGGGAAAAACTCCTTCAAATGGACTCTGGGTTTAAAAAAAGTAACAGCTTTCTCCTAGCTGATTCTCAATCTCTCTCTTCCATTCCGTATATTATCTATGTACCTATCACTTCCTTCCTTCTTTCCTTCCTTCCTATATACCTATCAACCAAATTTTCTAGGATTTTTTTCCCTTGTAAGGAATGCAAGGGTCTGTATGAAGGTGCTGGTCATCATTCCTTGTGCCTACTGATTCAGGACTCTTGGTACATTTTACTCAGTGACGTTGTAGGTATAGGGCCAAAATAGCTGAAGTTCCAGTATAAAATGATTATCACTTTGAAGAGGATCAATTAAGTGGCATTGTATAGGATCTCAAATCCAGAGTATTTTATAAAATGGGTCCTAAATTGTACCTGGAGAAAAAGAGCCTTTTTTTTTTTTTTCACATGGTATTGTCTAAAGGGATGCACAGCAAATAGTTATGTAGAAACAGTTATTTGTACCATCAAAAACAAGGTAATGTGAGTGCTACAGCACATATAACCATTGTATATGCTGATTAGGCAAGAAAAAATGATTATTTCATTTATTTTGCTATTCATGAACATTATGGTGGAAGGTTGGAGCTAGGAAATCTTCGTTGGGGGGCAGGATTATAGATTTTTAAAAACAGGTTTGCAGGTTCAGTGGGGACTCTTCCTCGCTTTCGGTACATTTGAACAGCATTTCCCACAGCATCAGGCCCCGGTGCCATTCACCTGTGCCGCTCTCCTGTCAGGTCTCAGCAGTGGGGTCTGGAGCTGTCCAGTGCGCCTAAGTCTGGACGGTCGCTCCCACATCCCTTCTGGACTTTAGTGGGCCTGTTGGAGTTTGGTTGAAGTTCCCGGAGAGATGCTTCCAGTGGGATTTATGTGGGAGTGCAAAGACATATTCCTACAGTTCACGAGGAAAAGGCAGAACTTGAGGAAAGACTATTTATGACGGGGGCCAGAGCCTGCCCTTTCATGCATCCATCTATTCATCCTTCCATCCATCCATCCTCCCATCTGTCCATCATTCATCTGCCTCTCAAACAAAGGGAGAACACAAATCAGTCCTTTGATTTTGGAGACATTTAAATTCATCTTACTCATTTGGGGTGGATAAGATCTATATGCATAAAAAAATTAAGGTTATTGTACTGCATCAAAGTTTTCAAACTTTAAAAAAAGAGAACCTCAAATGATACACCTCATATATGAGATAAATATGCAGCCATAGGGATAATGACCTGGAGTTTTACTTGCTCTCCTTTCAACCACTGTGGCAGTTTCACAGGATTTCTGGGATCCCCAGAGAACAATTTATAGACTGCTGTGCATTGGTATGAAACAAAGTGTTGGTGATGTGGTACAG